CCCATTCTTCATTAAGATTCATTTTTAATTAACTTTATATACAGACCAACTCTATACTAAGTAAAGATTTCCACAATTTACACCCACACAGACACACAAAGTATAAAATACTGTTTGAAAACAAGTTTGACAGTTAATTCTCATAGTACAACTCATTAAGGACAGAGGTCCTATATGGGGAGTAAGTGCACAGTGACTCTTATTGTTGAATTAACAATTGACACTCCTATTTATGATGTCAGTGATCACCTGAGGCTCTTGTCATGAGCTGCCAAGGCTATGGAAGCCTTTTGAATCCACAAACTCCGTCAGTATTTATACAGGGCCATAAGCACAATGGAAGTTCTCTCCCATGTCTTGAAATCTGGTATTGTGATTCTTCCAGCTTTGTTTTTGTAATATAAGATTGCTTTAGCTATTTGAAGTCTCCTATGTTTCCATATGAATTTCAGCATCATTTTTTCTAGATCTGAGAAGAATGTCTTTGGTATTTTGAATGATATTGCATTGAATCTATAGATTGCTTTCGGAAGAATGGACATTTTGATGATATTTATTTTTCCAATCCATGAACATGAAAGATTTTTCCATTTTTTTGTATCTTCTTCTATTTCTTTCTTTTGTAATTCTCATCATAGAGATCTTTGACATCCTTGGTTAAATTTATTCCAAGGTATTTTATTTGTTTATTTATTTTATAGCTATTGTGAATGGGATCAATCTTAGAAGTTCTTTCAGCCATGGCAGTGTCTGTGAATACAAAGGCTGTTGATTTTTGTCTATTGATTTTATTTCCTGCTTCTTTACCAAACTCTTCTATGAGTTCCAATAGTCTCTTGATGGAGTCTTTTGGGTGCCATATTTATAGAATCATGTCATCTGCAAATAGGAATAGTTTGACTTGCTCATTCCCAACTTGAATCCCTTTGATTTCTTTTTGTTGTCTAATGGCTCTGGCTAAAACTTCTAGGACTGTATTGAATAGCAATGGCAAGACTGGGCATCCTTTTCTGGTTCAAGATCTCAGTGGGAATGCTTCCAACTTTTAGGGGGATAATATTTTAAATAGCATCATTCTATACACAGAGGTGTACCGGAAATGCTTAACTGGCTCTCCAGAAGGAAACTTGCCAACTTACACTGTTTGCCCATTTCCATGGTATAAATACTCATAGGAAGATCAACTTCTCCTGAACACAGGTAGGGGCAGATGCGCACAATCAACTTTAGCAAGCAGATAAGAGCCTGTTCTAGCACCCAAATGTCAATGCCATTAGATTTCTTAAACTTTTGTATAGCTCTTCATTTTTGTTTTTCATTTTTGTTCCACAGGAAGCAATGAGGCAGATAGAGAACTGCTAGGCAGCGGGTGATGGTTCAAGTACTTGGGTCTCTGCCAACCGCATGGCAGATGTGGATGGAATTCCAGGATCCTGGTTTCAGCCTGGGACAAGCCCATTCTGTTGCAAGCATTTGGGGAGTGAACCAGCAGAGGGAAGATCTCTCTCTCTCTCTCTGCCCTTCCTCCCTTCCTCTCTCACTCTGTGACATGACCTTTAAATTAATTAATGAATTAATTAAGCTTTTTAAATGAGAGAGAGAGCTCTCATTTGCTGGTTCACTCACCAAATGCCCGTGATAGACAGGGCTGGACCCTGGCCAAATCTGGGAGCTGGGAACTCAATATGGGTCTCCCACATGGGTGGCAGGAGCCCAGTCACTTGAGTCATCATTGCTGCCTCTGGGGTGTACATTAGCGGGAAGCTGGAGTTAGGAGCCAGGGCTGGAGATCCACCTGAGGCACTAACTGCTAGACCAAATACCCACCCCAAACTTGTGTTTTTAGATTACTCAAGGAGCACTTATGTTTTTAAATCATTCTTTTTGAGGATGATTAAATAAATGAGATGCACTGTGGAAGTCCTTCATTTTCTCTTTGTGCTTTAACCAGACTTATTAGCTTTAACCAGATTTATTAGCTTGTGTTTCGTTCTACTTAACTTACTCTACCTACCACACACCTGCAAGTACTTGGAACTTCTCTGTGGGTTCTAAATCGTTTGTGGTGCTGAATCATGAAGGTAGATGATGTTTAAGGACATCTTTAGGAAAGAAGAAAAGGTTTAGGAGTTTGGCCTGCAAAGCTAGGAATGAGTGATGTTGGAGGAAGTCAGGGCATTGGGTGTTTCTGGGGCAGCCTTGGGGTGCAAAAGAATTGGGGCATAAAAGAGGGAAGTATGAGGAGTATGAGTTGTGATTTCAATCCCTCATCCTCTCCTTCAAAAGCCACCCTTACAGATTTGAATTCTATTTAAATTCCTGAGGGGGTGAAAGGATTGGGCTTCTGACTGCAGTAGGATTGTGCCAAACCTCACATGGCAGTAAAACATGGTGACACACTGGGGCAGGAGTTCCCCATATGCCCGCATCCCACATCCATGTGCCTGGGTTCAAGTTCAGCTCTGCTCCTGATAGAGCTTCCTGCTATGCAGGTGGTGGTTCAAGTACTTGGGTCCATACCATCCACGGAGGAGACCAGGATGGAGTTCTGAGCTGCTGGCTGTAGCCTGGCTCCGCTGCAGCTGTTGCAAGATTTGGAGAGTGAACCAGTGAATGGAAGATTCCTCTTTGTCTCTCTGCCTTTCAAATAAGATGAAAATCAATAATTTTTTTTTACAATTCAAAAGCCCTTAATGTTATAGCTCTCTCCTGCCATGCAGCTGGTCCCTATCCATTTTTTGTGCTTCCTTATGCAAAGTGAGAAGCCACATCCCTAACATTCTCTTTGTCCTGCCTAACCCTGGTCAAATTGCATTTGGCCTGGGGAGTGTGGGGACACACAGGAGGCACAGGTCTGTAAGTGCAACCATTACTCTCGAAGTAATAGGACCCAGACCCCGCCCCCATTATTATACTGTCGGGAGTTTTACTGTATAACAGCAAATGAAATGATCTTATGTTGAGCTGCACTGTTTGATTTTGCTTATCCATGCTAGAAGAGGAAACCTGGGAAAGCTAACAACAAACAGTAAATAAACAATGCCAATACATCAAATATTTGATGTTTGGCTGTGTTACTTAGCTTCTTTGAAGGACCAGTGAGCTGAATGTCCTGAGAATCGCTTTTGAACAAAATACCGAGTTCACATTGTGAAGGCTTGTCTTAGCAGCAGCACAGCAATCTAGCTTCATTACATTGGGCGAGAGACAGATCCTATCCTAATGTGGCTCCTTCCCTCCAGATGAGTAAATGAGTCTAAGCGTCGCCTCAAGCCGGATGACTCCATGAATCTGAGAATCAGCAGGTAGCAGCCTGGTGGGTTTGGTGCATTGACGGAGGCAGGTTCCAGCAGCATGGGTGTCTACATGTCTTAGCCAGAGCCTTCATGGTGGGCCAGGGGAGCAAGCTGAGGCTGCCTGGATTCTGCTCCTCACCCTGAACCTTGAGTGGCCTGCGGAAAGCACATATTTCATTCCGTGAAATGGCCCACGTGGACTACAGGTGACAGCTTTTGACTGTGTGACCAGGCCTAGCTATAATCATGATAATGCCAGCAATGAGTGAAAAAAGCTATGAGGTGGAGGGAAGAAAGTGATGAAAACATAATAGCTTGAATTTTCCTTAATTAATTACTTTACCTGGGAAGCAGAGAGAGAGGGAGCTCCCATTCACTGATTCATTCCCAGCATGCCCACTATGGCAGGGGCTGGGCCAGATGGAAGCCAGGAGTCTGGAACTGAATCCAGGTTTCCCAAGTAGGTGGCAGGAACCCAACTACTTGGCCCTCGCCTGCTGCCTTCCAGGATCTGCATTATCAGAAAGCTCGAATCTGGAGCTAGAGCCAGGATTGCCCTCAGACACTCTGATGTGGAATAAAGGGGTCTTAACTGGTATCTTAACCACTGAGCCAAATGTTTGCCCCTGAATTGATTTTTAAGGGGACAAACAAGCCTTCAGAAAGTTGGTTAAGGAATTGAACTCTACTGATGGGAGTTCCCACTCAGACACTTTTTTGACCTTAATTTGCTAAATCATGTTCCACAAATGGCAAGCTGAAAACTCACGCGGCAAGCTTGTTCGAGATCCTCGGTGTAAGAATCAGCCTCAGAGAGCGCTTGATGAGTCCAAAAAGGCAGCCTCGGAGCAGGCACAGGCCCTCGACTCCATCAAGACCCTCTGTAGAAGAGCACTTTAGGAGCAGGCACATGCAGACCAAGCACACAGCCGAGGACTGGTGTATAAACCCGACATCGGGCTATCTGTACGATGGACTTGAGGGTCAGCGTGTTCCCTCTCGGTGAGCAGTTCTGCTCAGCAAGCAAGCCCAGGTGCAGAACAGAAGGGAAGAGAAGGAAGGAGGCATAGGAGGAGAGAGGAAGGGCAAGATGACAGAGTGGAAAGACAGAAACACAGGAAGGGAGGGAGGGAGGGAGAGAAGGAAGGAGGAGAGAGAGAGAGAGAACGCAGAGGGGAGGAGCACTGGGTTTCAATGAAGTGAATTGCAAGAACCTATGGTGGCTGCTCTGTCCGCCCCTGCGTACCTTATTACTTGTTATTGGGATCAGAATGCATAGCTTCTTTGCTCTTCCTCCTTTCTGCAATGTTATCAGCTACCAGGACTTTGTCTAATGAGACATTCTGTTTAACCTGAACTGTGTGTGTTTAAAGTGTCCCTCAGAAGGCAGTGCCTCCCCTCACTGTATCCACGCGTTTGCACCACAGGTTTCTACAGATGGCTAACCCTGTCTACTTTATGTTGATTCACGTGAATTTCCACTTCAGAGGCTGATGTTTCCCAGTCTTTTTCCCCTCAACTTTGTGGGATGTCACTTCGCGGGAGGTCCAGATGTCCCCGTTGATCCCACTGCTCTGTCAACAGACCTGTTTTCATGTTCAGTGTTGTTTTTGTGTGCCCCAATTCCCAGTGGCTGTCAGTTACAATATCAGATATTAAAGCCCAGCCAGAAATCACAGTGTCTTTGTTTTCACTGTCTTCCAGTGTCATCTTGCATTACAACATACAAGAAGACTCCACCTCCAGTCCCACCCAGAACTACCACGAAACCTTTCATTTCTATCACAGCCCAGAGTAGCACAGAGTCTGCGCAGGATGCCTACATGGACGGACAGGGCCAGCGAGGAGACATTATCAGCCAGTCTGGACTCAGCAACTCCACGGAGAGCCTGGACAGTATGAAGGCTCTGACTGCCGCCATCGAAGCTGCAAATGCCCAGATCCACGGCCCTGCAAGTCAGCACATGGGCAATAACACCGCCACCGTCACCACCACGACCACCATCGCCACGGTCACCACAGAGGACAGGAAGAAGGACTTCAAGAAGAACCGATGCCTGTCCGTTGGGATCCAGGTAACAGCCTCCCTTTCCGTGTTTGAAATGGGGACCCCCAACTAAGGGACCGGATACCTTTTATTTTCCTGAAGTGTGGCTGTCTCGCCCTTCGGGATAATGGAGCAGTTTGTAAAATCAGGTTTGTCCATCATTGGCTCTGGACTCCCTACAACTAAATGTGGTGGAAATCACTTAGGTATTGTGTCTGTAGACATCATTATGTTGTTTGTTGAATGTGTGACTCAAACTCTAGGAGAATTCAAGGAATATGAACATGTTCAAACATAAAGTGCATTTTCATCCTTAAAAGAGGAGGGGGCATCCAAGAATAACCGGGGTTTTCAGTTGTGTTACAAGGCGTTCAACACCACTGAGTTACTGTATGAGAACAAACATGTGAATCACTTCTCATAGATGTGGGAGAGCGAGACCAAAGTGACCGATAGGGTGGAAAGCAATAACTCACGTCACGGCATCATGAGGAAAGAATGTACATCGTCTTCAGCCTGATTGCTGGCTGTTTAATCATGCATTTCATAACCGTGCTGGACAACGCGGCAGGCTCCTCAGTTCAGTTCACTGTTTCCTGCCTTTCAAAGATAAATTTGATCCTGCTTTTTTTTTTTTAAACAACTGTTTAGCTTAGGTTACCCTGCTAGAAATTTCCTTCTGTCAAAGAAGGAATCATTTTTTCCCTCTATTTGTGTTGTATAGTATCATTCTACAGGTGCTCATTGAATAATAACTTCTCCATTTGATGTCTGATAAATCTGTCCACATGGAACCAATGCTAGGCACATCTAGAAGCTGGGCATGGGGTACCTTCTCACAATGATGATGTGTTTTCACAAGCCATTCTGCAAAGCCCACCTTTGAAGGCAATTCATCTTTCTCTAATATCAGTGACTCAAATGTCTTTTGATAACCTCCAGGTTGCCATGGCACAAGCTGTCAAATTTCCTTGAAATTGTCACATTGGTGCTTGAGAATAGATGACACCACAGGAGGCAGGGCCCAAAGGTGGATCCCCCCCACCCCGCCCCGGCCATGCCTCCCTATTTCCCCTCCCACCACCCAAAAGATTTGAAGAGTGGAGAACAGAGGACAGTTCTCCCTATTGTTCTGGAAAATTATTTAATCTTCCTGATCATTGATATATTCATTTATCCCTCAGAAGATTATTTGGAAGATTGAGTTTTCTTAAATCTACCACCTCCTTTTGGGGTTACTATTTAGTAGGTGCAAAGTTTCAATTTGAGATGAGGGAAAAGTTACAGAGATAGAAAGAGATGATGGTTGTACAACATGAATGTGCTTAGCATCACTGAATGGTGCACTCTAAAATGCATAACGTGGCAAATTTAGATTATGCATATTTTCCCATAGTGAAAAATATCTACCTTCCTATCTGGCATGGAGTTGGCACCAAGGAATGTTCATTTGGTGTTTCTACTTCCTTAATATTCAATTCATATTTTCCTCCCTTCCATTTTACAGTATTTTTAGTTGATAGTAAATTCCCATTGTTCAAAATTGAAAACTTGGGGCCAGCGCTGTGGTGCAGCGTGTTAAAGCCCTGGCCTGAAGTGCTGGCATCCCATATGGGCGCCGGTTCTAGTCCTGGCTGCTCCTCTTCCTATCCACCTCTCTGCTATGGCCTGGGAAAGCAATGGAAGATGGCCCAAGTGCTTGGACCCCTGCACCCGTGTGGGAGACCCAGAAGAAGCTCCTGGCTCCTGGCTTCGGATCAATGCAGCTCCGGCCGTTGCAGCCATCTGGGGAGTGAACCAGCAGAATGGAAGACCTCTCTCGCTCGCTCTCTCTCTCTCTCTCTCACTCTCTGTCTCTCGCTGGATCGGGTAGTTCTCCTTTCTAGAGGAAATTGATATAATCAATATTTGTGTCTCCATACAGAGATACTTTGTGCATATTTAAGCAAATATATATTTTATGTATTCCTTCTCCCTGCAGATGTTAATGTAGATCTCACACGATTCCACATCTTGCTTTTTTTTTTTCATTTAATATATCTGGAAAATGCATTTTTCATTTTACTTAAATGCACTTGCCTTAATCACCTCCGAGACGCTGCAGGTTAGTCTTATCAGCTACTTCACACATAATTCCTACTTAGAATAAAGCAGTTATATATGAAATTCAACTTCTATTATTACTACCTTCAATCAGTAAAATGGAACTACACTGAAATCCACTTATAATGTTGAAGAGAAAGGTTTTTGTTTCAGAAATTATCCCACTTTTTTTTTTTTTTTTTTTGACAGGCAGAGTTAGACAGTGAGAGAGAGAGACAGAGAGAAAGGTCTTCCTTTTTTTGCCGTTGGTTCACCCTCCAATGGCTGCCGCGGCCAGTACGCTGCGGCCGGCGCACCGCGCTGATCCGATGGCAGGAGCCAGGTACTTATCCTGGTCTCCCATGGGGTGCAGGGCCCAAGCACCTGGGCCATCCTCCACTGCACTCCCTGGCCACAGCAGAGAGCTGGCCTGGAAGAGGGGTAACCGGGACAGAATCCGGCGCCCCGACCGGGACTAGAACCTGGTGTGCCGGCGCCGCGAGGCGGAGGATTAGCCTAGTGAGCCTCGGCGCCGGCTCCTACTTCTTAATACTTGCACATTCCAGTGAGCAAAAACTGCTCTTCTTCCTCCAATGATTGTGCACTGTTGTATAAATTGCAATGGAGTCTGAGTACTTTCTATGTCTCTCATGAGCCCCTGCAGCAACCCTGTGGTGTAGGTGTTGCTATTATTACTTCTTCTCCACAAATGAGAGCATGTAGAGGTTGAGTAACTTAACAAGGTCACCACCTTATTTTAACAAAGTCAAGTGGTACGTAGATTGCTTTTTTTTTTTAAACATTAATTTACTTATTTTAAAGGCAGAGTTACAGAGAGGTGGGGGGTGGGGAGAAAGAGAGTGAGAGAGAGAGTCTTCCATCTGCTGGTTCACTCCCCAAATGGTTGCAACATTCGGAGCTGGGCCGATCCGAAGTCAGGAGCCAGGAGCTTCTTCTAGGTTTCTCATGTGAGTACAGGGGCCCAAGGACTTGGGCCATCCTCTACTGCTTTCCCAGGCCACAGCAGAGAGCTGGATCGGAAGTGGAGCAGCCAGGACTCAAACCTGTGCCCCTATGGGATGCCGGCACTGCAGGCAGTAGCTTGTACATTGTACTATTCCACATCGCCGGTCTCCATACCTAGATTTATAATGTTTTACAGTATTTACAGTACTGCTTCTTTAATGGTGAATAATAAGTTTTCAAAAATGAATGATGCAGAATGTTCCGCAACTTCTTTATGCTGAAATCTAATCTAAATACGTGTGTGTGTGTGTGTGTGTGTGTGTGTTTATATATATATATAAAAACAGATCTGGAACTTCCTCCCATTTCTACCTTTTTTCCCTTAAGATTTATTTTATTTATTTGAAAGACAGAGTTACAGAAAGAGGTAGAAACACATAGGGAGAGGTCTTCCATCCACTGGTTCACTCCCCAAATGGCCACAACAGCTGGAGCTCAGCCAATCTGAAGCCGAGAGCCAGGAGCTTCTTCCAGGTCTCCCACTAGGGTTGCAGGGGCCCAAGGACCTGGGCCATCCTCCTCTGCTTTCCCAGTTTCATCAGCAGGGAGCTGGATAGGGAATGGAGAAGCCGGGGCTCAAACCAGCACCCATATGGGATACTGTCACTGCAGGCCGGCCTTTAACCTGTTGCTGGCCCCTCCTTTCTACCTTTTTGGAAATTCTCACAAATTTCCAAACCTGTCTCAACACACTTAATTTAATCTATACCCAACAGCTAAGATTCCAGTCATTTCCTTTATAAACTGTGTGAATTTAGACCAATTACTTAATCTCTGCATCTCCTAGAATAACAATAGTCTATTTCATAAGATACTTTATAGGATGCAGCAAAAATTAACTGATATCATACAATCATATGTCACTTAATGACAGGGACATGTTCTGCGAAATGCAGATTTAGGTGATTTTGTTTCTGTGGGAACATCATAGAATATGTTCGCACTAAGATGGCTATGATATTACTAGACAGTATGTTCTCATCTATGGTACCACCCTTGTTGACCAAAATCTTGTTATTTTGGGCATGACCACACATGCAGAGCTCTCATTATGGGTCTGGCATACGTGGGCTCAACAGCATTAGCTTTAGCTATATTTTTTGTATTGTTCTCCATTAGCCAAATGCACTGACACTCTATCACCAGCTATGAGTCTTTCCCAATTTGTTTTACAACAGAGATTTATTTACCCTACAATTTGTTTTGAAAAATATGAAAATCACTGTAAACTTTAGTAGATAACCCTGGATATCATGTATGAAAAGTGAGACCTGTCAACATTGAGATCTAAATATAAGAAGGTAAGTCACAGACATAAATTTGCAAATGATCACAAAAGCTTAAAAGATTCTAACCATTTGATGCAAGTGTGCGGGCAGTTTGGTTAGATGGAGTGTCATTTTTTTCTTTTTTTAAAAGATTTGTTTATTTATTTGTAAGGTAGAGTGACAGAGAAAGAGAGAGAAAGAGAGAGAGAGAGAGAGAGAGAGAGAGAGAAATCTTCCATCTGCTGGTTCACTTCCCAAATGCCCGCAGTAGTTGGAGCTGGAAACCAGGAACCCAGAGCGCTGTCTGAATCTCCCCCGTGGATGTCAAGGGCCTAATTACTTGGGCCATCTCCTGCTACCTTCCCAGGCACATTAGCGGGAAGTCAGATGGAAAGCTCAGAGTAGCCAGGACTCCAGCAGGCAATTTGACAGGAATTGTGGTGTCTTTGTGCCCACGCCCACCCCTTGAACCAGGAAGAGGCTTGGGAGTCCTTCATCCTCACGCTCACGACCTGCTTCCTTTCTTTTTCCTTTTCTCTATCCATTAAGGATCATCGCTCATAGGGAATTATCTACCTTGCATCTTTTGCAAGACGTTTCACTGGGTCACTTTGATACTACCCTATGGTATAATGCTGCAACATCCTACTTT